CTAGGGTCACCATGAGTTGGAACTGAGTTAGCACTAAGCTTAGTTTTAGCTTTACCATTAAATACAAGGAGTTTCTCCTGGGTGGTACAAACAACACTGGACTATTAGCTGAAAGGTTGGAGACAATGGCAGTTTAATCCATCCAGAGGTGCTGGGCGCATATGCCTGGTGATTTGCTTCCCAAAGGTCAGAGCCATGAAAACTCTATGCTGATCCAGTTCTACTCACACACATAAGGTTGCTCTGATCTGGGACCAACTTGATGATACCTGATTTGGTTTTCTATTTGTCAGTATGAAAATTAAAAAACAAATATATACATCCTACACTACTGACAAATACAAAACTCATTTTTTTTTTGCTAACACAAATTAAACATTTTTATCTAAAAATATAATCTTATTCTCATCATAGTTAAGCTTGTTACAGAAATATGTTATATTTAAATGGGGATAATTTGGGATTTATGTCCTAAACCAAAACTACAAGTTCAAGATAATACTTATGACGGGGCTTAAGTTAATGGAAAAAATGGAATTATAAGATAATGGAAAATTTCCATGATGTTTTCAAAGCCCCCTTTTATATATTTGCATTAAATATTAAGTAATAAAATTTTACTACTTTTTTTCCTTACATAAAATCTGTTTTGACAGAGTCTACATACTCTCCAAGAGTAAGCCTAGTTTCAAAAAAAGCCAATAAGAATTCAAAGTTGGTTAAAATGAGTAAGTAAAAAAGTATTATAATACATAGAAATCTTAAAAATTTCAAAATCAGAAGTTCCTCAATATTTTTTTCCGTTAAGGTCGATCTTCTGAAGGCAGTATTATTATCACTTTAAGGTCTCCCTGAAGAACTCTGAATTCTGATTTATACATCAAAACATCCTTGAGAGAATCAAATTATTTTCCTTTTAACTCTTCTACGAGTTTTGGGAAGAAAAAAGTCTGAAGTGACAAAAGTAGGGCTGTAAAGTTGATGGAGTTAGGTTTTCCAAAGAAATTCTCATCAGACAGCCCTTGTTTGTTGTGATGAAAAATATTCTCCACTGCAACTTTCTTTTTATCAATAATTCATTTTTGTATTGTCTTAAAACTTCTTCATAAGTCCTCATAACTGTCCTGTGCCCTTTGAGGAAAATCTATCAAAATTATCCCATGAAATTTAAAAAAAAAAAGAGTTGCTGAGCCGACTGACCTCTCTGCCTTGAATTTAATTGGTCCAGCAAATTCCCTCAAAAGTCATTGTTTTAATTTGGCTAGACCAGAGGATGTACACTGGTACCAATGACAACTGGAAACACAGGGAATCAGGACAGATGACTCCTTCAGGACCAGTGGTGAGAGTGGCGATGTCTGGAGGGTGGAGGGAATGTGGGGTAGAAAGGGGGAACCGATGACAAGAATCTACATATAACCTCCTCCCTGGGGGATGGGCAGCAGAGAAGAGAGCGGGGGAGACGTCAGACAGTGTAACATATGACAAAACAATAATTTATGAATTATGAAGGGTTCATGAGGGAGGGGGAGGGGGGAAATGAGCAGCGGATATTAAGGGCTAAAGTAGAAGGCAAGTGTTTTGCGAATGATGAGGGCAACAAATGTACATATGTGCTTGACACAATGGATGTATGTATGGATTGTGATAAGAATTGTGCAAGCCCCCAAGAAAAATGATTTTTTTAAAAAGTCATTGTTTTGATTGGAACTCCTTGATGAGACTCTAACAAATATATCCCTGAGCGAATTTGTTTAGGGCCATCCACTAATTGCAGAAACATGTTTTAACAGGTTCTGTTTGGCATTAACCAACACAGGTATAAATGGAAACTCTAGCAGCAATACTTTGACTGGCTCTCATGCAATAGATATCAGCTTTCTTATACTTTCATGTTTTTCAAATTTCCCTCTATTAGGTGTTAGGAGCTTACCCATTAATGTCACTAAACAATTCCGAACTCAAACAGGATCTACATAGCATTGGAATAGCATTCCATGTGCGTCAACATCAGTTACAAAGGCTGATCTGTTATGTGAAATACTTCCATCTACTGGGAACAAATGGTAAACACAAGAAAAAATTAAGTTTGCTTTTTAGTAAAAATAGTTACAAAGCAGTGTTCTAGTATTCTGAAGATATAAGGAGAACCAGATAGACATTAAGTCAAGGAGATTAACTTTAAGTGTGGGATGAATGAAGATAAAATAAATTACAGAACGTTGTAAAGCCATAAGGAGGGCTACGATGCTAAAAATATGCAAAGAAGGCAGTACAAAGGGAACACACACACACACACACACACACACGAAATTGTTAATCTATTTTGCTTGGGTAGCTATGGAAGAGACTTCATGGAAAAATCATTTTGAGCTTGATTAAATTTTTAATAGATATATGTACATATGGAATGATGAAGACTGCATTATAAGTTGCATTTATAACTCTTAATTTCATAACCAATAACACCCTCTACTGTAAATAAGCTTTATCAATTCTGAAAGAGGGGCAGTAGATGATTTTCTTCGGCATTCAGAAGGCAGTTGGAAAAGAACAAATAATTTTGTGAAGTTAGAATCTATGGTGCTGAGGATACATACAAGTTAAAATTAGATCAGCTCTATGTTCTGAAAATATTGAACATGTTTAAACTAACAAACAATAAGCCACTGAAGATTATGAATGTGACAGTGAGAAACTACATATAATCTTAATTTGGCAGTATCATGGAGAAGCCAAAGTGAAGAGCCAACACAAGTCAAAAACAGCGAGATCACTGTCATGATTTTGACTCATAGTGACACTATGCAGGTTTCTGAGGTTATATATCTTTATGGGAACAAATAGTTTGACAACCCTCCCACCCATCCCTATCCCCCCATATACACAGCCCCAGGAAACAGTGCAGTGCTCGCTTAACACCACTACTAGGACTACTAATAATGAGATCAGTTAGGAAAATTTTACAATAGCTTAGGAAAAAAAGATAAAAGTATGAATCAAGAAAATGTCAAAGAAAAGGAAAGAAAACTAGCAAAAGGAGTATTTCAAAACTATAACCAGGAAGGCGTTAACTGTCATTACACTGTGAGGTTTCACAGAGTAGAAAGAATGATAAATTCTTAAGACTATATTTAATTTTTATGTTAAGGAATTACCCTGATGGAATGAAGAATAGTTTGGAAAGGAGGACGAGCGGAAAAATTACTTTAGAAATGGGTACTGTGGGCAAGAAATGGCATGAGTCTGATCTCAGATGATGACAATAAGGTAGTAAGTCCAATGAGATAGTACGTTAGTCTGGGTGGACTAATGAAATAAATCCAAGGGGATTCATATGTGCATAAGAGGTCTATATACAAGAGCAATTGAATATTGAGAAAAACATCCCAGCCCAGTCCAGATCAAGTCCATAAGTCCAATATTAGCCCATATGTCCGAAACCAATCTATAAAGTCCTCTTTAGACTCAAGAAACACATGCAATGATGCCAAATTCAGGAAGATCACAAGCCAGTGGGTACAAAGTCTTGTGGATCCAGCGGCGGTGAAAGCATCTCAGCGCTGGCAGGGGTCACCACGAGGTTCCTCCAGTTCCCAGGGTACTGGGTCTATCAGTGTAGGGCCATGTGTCTTATCAGTAGAGCATCTCTCAGGGAGTAAGTAGAGAAAGGATGTCTCTCATTTCCAAGGAGGAAATATCAGAATTCTGAGAATCCTTAGGGGAAGGCCATGCCCACACAGAGGCCTCATTGGCTATGACCCGATTGACAGACTAGACTCCACCCCTTCGCTCTTAATCCTCTCAAATCCCAAATTGACACCGGATTATGTAACTACCACAGATGGAAAGAGACATTTTTAAAAACATTTTATTAGGAGCTCTTACAGATATTATTACAATCCATATTTCTATTAGATCAAGTATAGTTGCAAAATTGCCGCCATCATCATTTTTAAAACACTTTCTATGTTCTTGTACTGCTTGATATCAGCTCTTCTTTATCCCACCCCCTATCTCTTAATATATTATGTATTATTCTAATTATTATTGGGGTCTTTTTGCTATAACTTATACCATCCAATGTAAAATTGTTGTTCTTTCCCCTTGAGTGGGGTTGACAGTCATTGCTTTCAGATCCCCCTTCCCATACCCTCAGGGAGTCATTACTCCAATTACTGTTTCTGAGGTGGTTATCTATCTTGGACTCTTTTGCAAAACTTCTCATATGAATATAAGGGACTTTGAAAGAGTTCGTGACAAAATGGAATGAATGAAAATAATACATTTTCCCACAAACTTTTTTTTAAAAATCAATTGATTTTGGCTCATAAATTCATCACA